CAAAATGTTACATATACTGAGCTGGCACCAAGTGAAAAAGCAGATATTGAATCTATACGATTGGAAAAGCTTACAGAAGCAGCTTGTTCTGATTTGAGACGCTTTTCAACAAATATGGCAAGCTTCTTTTTATACAGTCTCACTGTTGAAACATATTTCATTTGTTGCGGTAAGTCGGCTAAAAATTCATAGCAATCATACGCAAATAAACTAGATTTAAAAAGGTAAAGGAAGTTCAAAGACATAGGAACTAGTACTTTTCACAATATAGCATTTAAAACAATTTTACAGATATGTCCTGCAGCAAAAGACTGGTTGACTTCATTTGTCTTGTCAGCAGAGCAACACAATAGCAGTACAAAGAGAAACCCCTAGTACGGTGAAATAAACAAAAGATATACTTGACAACATAAAAACTATTTGTTCTTCAAGACAAGATGCATCCAGAGCTGCAAAAAGATATACCAGGGCGGAATGGAAAAAAATCAAGAATAGTTTTCGCTAATAAAAAAGGCCCAACACAGCATTCTATCGGCCTCGAATAAAAATGATTTCCCTAACTTACAAGGTCAGTAAACATAAAGAACGACTTGACTAATAGTCTAATATACTAATCATTCTAGAACTACAGATGATAACCTTAGAACACAAGTAGAACCTTAATAGTTAAAAGGACTGCATTAATATGTTCTTCCAGCAAAAGAGAAGGTATGCAGAGCAGCTCACTAGCTCGAAACACTAAGTCACCAAATTTTGGAACTGATTATATTAACTAGCAAGACACTGCAGAAAAACCAACACAAATCTCAACAACTTCCATTGATTTCCAATACAACACAGAAATTGCAAATGAGCCTAATACCCAAATAAACTTTATGATCCATAACATTAAAAATCTCTACAACTTCATTGATTTACAATCCAACACAAAAATTGCATATGATTAACAAATATCGACCCAATACTTGACGGTCAACTCTTGATCAACAAAGGATTTGGTGTAAAAACTGAAAGTGGGAATGAATTTTCCCGAAACAGTAATTCAATAACAAGTTAGTTGAATGGAAATTTGAAACTTAATTGAAAATCTTCAACGTGCGTCATTGTTCAGGAAAATGCTAGAGAACAGGGACAAAAAGGTGGCAAGACCAATCGCAGAAGTTAATAATAAAGTTCAACGTAGATAACAGATAAACAAGCACACAACTAAATGGGACTAAGAAATATTAGAGAACTAAATCCATGCAAAAACGAAAAACAAGGTCATTAAACACATATAAAAGAGATCATGAGATAACTAACATCAGTGGTAAGGACAGCATGAAAGACTGAAAGTCCCAGGTGAAAGACTGAAAGTCCCAGGAGAGAATTGGGGGGATCGAGACTAGTGTGGGGGCCGGCGACTTAGTTTTCGACGGCGGCGCACCGCGAGGGCGGATGGTGCGGTGCGACACGTCTGAAATCCGTCGCGATGAACCTGTCCGAAATGGCAAAGGGCCGGCGCAACTGAGAGACTGAGAGATCGGCGACTGAGTGCACTACGGCGGCGAGGGCGGATGCGACGAACTTGAAGAGGATCGACGCGATTTTTTGTGGAGTTTGGGCGACAAGGGTTTGAGAGTTTGAGGAGTTGAGGGGAGTGGAGCGGGGCCGGAGATTGAATGGATAGCGCGAGAAGGCCGAGTTGGGTGGAGAAATTGGGAATGAAGAAAATGAACTGGGCTTTTCTTGGTTTAGATTGTCTTGCAAGTAGATAAGGGCCCATTTTAATATGGTTGGGCTTATTGGACCTAACTAAGTGGGCCGACTCATGATCCAATCTACATGGTCAGGCAGGCCATTTGGACCGTTTTNAGAGGTATCCCCACGTTCATCTTGGGATATCGACGCCGAGCCCCAGTCATCACCAAACCCACCTAGGGAGACCGACCTGTGGTCGGGAGAATGGGTCCATCAGTTTTCAAATTAACATTTTGTTGGCAGTCAACTTGGTCAACCAAACTTGAAGAGCATATTCAATGTTATGGCTTTAAAAGACAATGATGTTTTAATAAATGTTAATTAATAACTGTAATGTTAAATCACATAAAAATTTTGTTAAAAGACTAAAAAATTGAATCAATCTAGTATCCAATGCATAAATTTGATAAGAAGTTATTTGTATAAACGAACCAATTAAAATAATCATTGATATAAGATCAATAAAAATTAAACTAAATATAAAGTGAATTGATGAGTCATCATGTCTAAATAGTTTCCTCAGCAAACCAGATGCTTTTAGTCAACAAAATCTTTCTGTTTTCAAGACAGAACAAGAATTAAAACAATACAAAAAAAAATCTAAAAAATAAAAAATAAAAATGCTTTTTTTCTTCAGAACATCATAGATAGTGGGTTTTTAAATCAACATCAGAGTTGGAAAAAAAAAATAAAAATAAAAATCTGCCATTAATTCCAGGAATAAGGTTCCCATTGCTTTTGCAGATGATAAATTTGAGTGCACTCTAAAAATAAAAATAAAAAATGAAAAAAAAAAAACACCCTGATCAGTGTGGATCTATTCTTGTACCCTACTCTAAGGTGTTAATTTTTTTAGGAAAAATTGCAATTTCAGTCATGTTAGTTTGATCCAGCGGCGTTTTTTGTCCTAAGAATTGAACATTTTTGCTATTTGGTCCTATACTTTTAAAATTCAATATAATTTTAATCCTTTAGGACTGAAAATGCTACAAAAACTTAAAATTACAGGACTTAAATTGCTAATAAAAAAAATTTTGGATGATTTTTTTATTAGCAATTTAAGTCCTGCAATTTTAAATTTTGCTGCATTTTCAGTCCCGAATGATTGAAATTACAGCAAAATACTATATTACATAATCAAAAGACAAAAAGTTAAAATCTTGAGATAAAAAAAGCTACACCGTTAAACCAGTAGCACTAAAAATGCAATTTTGTCAATTTTTTTATTCCAATTCCATCAAAGTCATAAGTGAAGAGGAGGAGAATATTCTTGCAGCTGTCTCAGAATGGAAACCGAATTTTTGAGTCGAAAAATACAAAGGAAAAAATATTTCCTTCATTTTTTTTTTCTTCAAATGCTAGAAAAAATGTTCTCCCCTGTTCAAGATTCTATACGAACCCGCCTTTTTTCGTCCTCTCGTCGTGTGTTTATAAGTACATTGCCTTAAAACGATCGAGTTTCATACGCGAAATCGGTCTAGTAAGGCATTTATCGAATTTCGATATAGCAATATGTATCATGATCAAAGCCATCAAGGTAATAACAACAACATTATACAATCCACAGCTAGAATGTCTATTAGTCTTAGTCAGCCAGCAGAGAGAAATCTGTTCTTGCAAGGCAATATTAATAACAACTCGGGTCTTGTGCTCTCCACCGATGCTAAACCGAGGCTCAAGTGGACACCTGATCCTCACCAACGCTTCATAGAAGCCGTGAATCAACTCGGTGGGGCTGAGAGTAAGAAATGCGTGCAAAATTAAACGAAACGAATAATGCAATAATGAAAAATAGGCTTATTCGGATAATTTGTATTTATTTTTTTTTAAAGAGGCTACGCCGAAATCGGTCTTCAAACTTATGGGGATTCAAGGACTAACATTGTACCATTTGAAAAGTCATCTTCAGGTAAATTTTTCTCGTAAATTAGACGCATATAGTATATATATATATATATATAGGGTCGCGCTCACATGAGAATGATGTTTAATGCGAGAAAATAAGAATAAATCGTAGCCACCGGATTGGATGATCTAATGTCAAATAAAAATGTCAAATTTATACCTTCATTAAGGGTATTGTGATAATTTTCCACACCACACACAAATGGACCCCACACTACATTAAATATCTGCCAATTAATTGTCAACTACTTTATCACTCACCTCAATCCACCCAACCCCACCCCACGTTTTCTCTCTCTCACAACACACACATCACACACCAACACACAGACGCACTTCACACACCAACACACACACACACACACACACATCACACACCAACACATCCCCGCCGGTAAAAGGTCGACCGTCGACCCGCCATCCGCCACCAGACGTCCGCCCGTCCGCCACCAGACGTTCCGCTCACCGTGAAGATCCACAGATACGCCGGCCGCCCGACCTCCACTGGCTCCGCCTCGCATCCCCGTCCAACCTCCACCATGACTTCGCGCACATCGCCGCCGACCGCACTGTCTCTGACGGATTCCGGCGACCGTGGACTGCGCCCCGGTTTCCATGGAAATTAACTGAATTCACAGTCGAAGCTCGACACACCCGCCACCGCCCATTTCCGCCTCTACCGCCCCCCGCCACCGCCGGCACACACAAACGGCTTGCCACACACACACAGTCGCTGCCCGATTTCAGGGAAGGGGACTGAAGATTCAATTTGGATTGTGGGATCTTGTTTGAGAATTTGACAATTTCAAAGGGTCCAATTGCAATTTTAAGAGTTTTATCAAATTTCAATTTAGTCCTTGGGTTTAATTTGAAATTTATGGAAAAATATATAAACAATATTGTTTTTTGTATATTTTTTATACATATCAATGGTGATGGTGTTGTTCAGTTGAAACGAGGGGTGCTCTGCTTGTCACAAAATAGCCTCCTATAATTGACATGTCAAAATGTAAACCAATAATTTATTTTATGGATTTAATGTTGAAAAAAACAACCTTTGTGTCCTTTAGATTTTAATTAGGATACTCAGCGGGAGATGTTGCAATTTTATTTTATTTTTTATATTTTTTTTACGAAACGATAGCAATTTCATACACCATTCAGTTATATCATTTTTAATTTTACTGTTACAATAATGATTTGTAATATTCTGTTGACATTTATTATATATATATTATCCATTTTCAACAAAAAATACATATAAAAATATTAAAATATTAGAATATTTTATAATATAAATAATAATTTAATTATATTATGTAGGTTAATTTTATTTAAACAAATAAGTCGATTATAACACATGTAGTAAAGTGCAATGGTATTAAACAAAATGCACATTAGCAATTGTCATAATACATGATAGTGTTAGACCACATGCACTTTTAAGGGAACATCTTGGTAAATTTGGATACATTTATGAACAAATTGAACCGACTGGTGAACAACTCTATGTAATTTCGTAAATTATAACGGGTGTTTTTAATAATTATAAATATTATTAATAATTACAAATATTATTAATAATTACAGTAGTTCGACTTATACACTATCACATTGCACTTTATAAAACAACACATTGCATTTTACAAAACAATACATTGCACTTTATACTTTATAGTTCGACTTATACAATATCACGTTGCACTTTATAAAACAACACATAGCACTTTACAAAACAATACATTGCACTTTATAATTCGACTTATACACTATCACGTTGCACTTTATAAAACAATAAATTGCACTTTACAAAACAATATGTTGCACTTTATAATGATTATCAGATTGCACATTAGAGATCGAAACCGACCGAACTCAATTTATTCAACAAAAAAATAATATAAAAATAATAAATAAAATTATTAACATATTAAATATAATTTTAATATAAACAACAGATTATTTCAATTATTTAGGATAATTCGATTATTCGAACCGAATAAACCAATTGACTATGTTCATTTTTTCATTTCGATTTAGGACAAAAGTTCGCTTGGTTCAATCTGCACAATACAGACCGACACCGTGCACCGTAGTGTTGAACAAATTGCACTTTAATAAATGTTACATTGCACGGTATATTTCGTTCACATAAACACTAAATTTTGAATAAAATTAATATAATATAAAATATCAAATAAAAAATATTAAACATTAATCGTGTTGTTTATAATAAATGATATAATTTATGTCAGTTATTTTAGTTATGTTTGTTAATTGACAAATTAAATTGATTATGTCGATTTTTCAGTTCGAACATTTTCATTTCATTTTGATTATCTATTTTTTAAGGTGCACACCAACATTCAATATTGTGCATCTAATGTGTCATTATTGTGCATAAATTAATACTTATTTAACCATAAAATGTCATGCATAAATAAAAATACACATACACAAATATTAAAAGTGTACAAATTGCAAAATAGTTTCTTAAACACAATGAAGTTTAAAAAACGGACCCAGCTCCCCCAAAACAAAAGACACCACAACCACTCAACGTCAGCCACCGCCGCCGCTGCCATCCTCGTCACCAAACGCCGCCGCCGCCGCGTCCTCTTCAACAAACGCCGTCGCCGCCACTGTAATCGTCACCAAAAGCCGCCACAACTGGCGGATAGTCCTCAGCCCCAAAAAAAAAATCAAAAAACAAACCGGCCATCCTCCTCCGCTGTNAAAAAAACCAAAAAACAAATCGGCTATCCTCCTCCGCCGTTCTCCCGCAGCCTCCATCTTCCGTCAATCAACGTTCTGTCCTAGCTGTGGAGCCGCCTATGCCAGGATGAGGAGGCGTTGCTACCGGGGCAGGAGATGTGGCAGGGCTGGAGAGCCGCGGTTGGTGACGGAAGTGAAGGACGGTGGAGACGGAATCGGCGAAACAGGCGTGGTGAGATTGTGTCGACGGGCGGTGGTTGAAGGCGGAGGACGGTACCGCTGCAGGCGATGGGCGGCTGGTTTCCGTCGCAAACTCCTTGGTCGCATCCGATTCCGGCGATGGGATGCGGAGGGGCGGCGGCGGGCTGCATAATCACGGTGGCGGAGCTCCGCCGATGAGAAGACGACGGTGGCCTGAGTGTGTGTAGTGCGTGTGTGAGTGTTCAGATTTAATTTTCAGATCTTGTGAGATTTTCAGATCGGGTGGGGAGAGAGAGGTTGGGGAAAGAGAAAAGGAGGGTAGAAGAGAGAGAGGGAGAGGAGAGAGAAAAGTGGGGTGAAGTAATAGTGGGTCCCACATAATAAATGTGTATTGACCAACTTATCCTTATTTATTGGTCATATACACATATTTGACCACACTATAATCAAATAATTACCAGATTGCCATTAATGATTGACCATATTTTGACTTGATCTTAACCATTAATATGATTGATCCCATGGTGCAGATTCATTCTTATTTCTCGCATTAAGAATCATTCTCATATGATCCCTTCTCTATATATATATATTTAATTTATGACTGAATATTTATAGGTATAGATCAATTTATACTCTTCCTTCTATTTATAGGTATAGATCAATTTATTTATTCTATAAAATTTATAGAATATGAGATTCATTTCCAAAACATTATTTTTAATAGGAAACATAAATTTCCAAATAAAGTAATTATGATCGAAAAAATTTAATATTTTCATTTATAGACATCCTTGTCTTTAGTAATACTAGTATTTTTTTACCCGAGCACATGTACGGACGAGGTCAAATGAATAATACTATGCATTAAATAAAATTTAAATTTAATCATATACAAAAATTAAATGAATTATAATACACTCTTATATTTTCATTATACGTTGTATTATATATATGTCAACTGGTCCTCTCCGTATAGTAATATATTTATTTTTTTCATTGGTCATTTGAAATTATCATTAAAATTGGTTATGGTTCAAATTTTCAATCACCAATACATTACATATTAAAAAAATAAATTATAATGACACAAAATATAATAAACATGATTCAGACTAAATCTATAAAGTTCACATACATTTAAAAAAATAGTTTTACATATCACTGCTACTATATGTACTATTTTCAGTTGATTTTTTTTTTCAACTAATATTTTTAAGATTTTGAATTTTTTTTCTCTTCTTGAAAACTTTTAAAAAATGATGGAAAGCTAAATAAATATTTTTTTAAGAAAATAATATTCAAATATATATCAAATCAGGACCCAACAAAATTTATTTTATTTTCAAACTTAACTTTTCATTAAATATAATTTATTTTAGGTATCCGAGAATCATAGAATTCTAAGTTCTTTTCCAAAAGTTTTAATTTTTAATAGGTAAACATATTCAATTAAAAAGTAATAATATTTGGCGCAAATATTTCAATAGGTCTATTTGTAATTTTTTTTTTATTAATATATAGATATAGATATGTATATTTCAAAATGTCATAATGTAAAAAATTATAGATATGTATATAATTACCGAATGTGCTGAACTTAAGTGACAGACTCGCATGTTTCGGAATCCTATGTGGCATGCTTCATTATTTGACTTGAATAAATTTTAATTTACTTCCAATACAAATTATCCATAAGTATATCGATTATTTATGATCTTTTTATATGTACTAATTGCGTATTAATATCATTTTCTATTATAACTATTAAATTGTAATTATAGTTTTAATGTTAATAACTTTTGTATTTCTTATTAATTTTACATATATAATATATTAAATTAATCATCTATTGATGAACTTCAATTTGACATCCTTATTGTATTTATATAATAAATAAAATATATTTGCTTTTTTAATGCTAATAAAATTATTTAGTAATATTAATTAGATAAAATTATTTATCAGTTAATATATTTATGTTCATAGTAGTTATATGATATATAAGTTAGAAAATATTATAATATAATACATGTAAATCACAAGTAAAGTGTCATTCTAAAATATATAGTATATTATACTTTGTAAAAAAATATTTATATTTTAAAACACTTTTCTTCTCATTAATACAAATCATTAATTTTTGTTAAAAAAAGGCCTACAATAATTGTGTTGTTATGGCAAGCGGTGTATATTGCAGAAATGACAAGACGGCATCACGTGCGGTTTGTTAAAATGAGTAATAGGTCATGCTTTTTTAATTTTTATTGTTATATATATATATATATATGTGTGTGTGTGTATATATATNCGTATAAAAATATTTTTTTTTTTTGCTAGTGACGATGGATTGGGTCGCGCATAAAAATAGTCTAAATACCGGACCACATGACCCCCTAAAAGATTTGGGAATCAACATTTTATTATTAATCATATAACAAAATTTGCCTTTTCGGATTTTGCTGGTCCATTACCCATTTTTGAAAAAGGCCAATTTCACTTTTTGCTACTGCCAGCCCATAATATTTACGTCTTTTTATGAATTCTTTACAACTTACAAGTTGCGTACCTTATCAATTTGCCTAAATTTTTAGATATTCTTCTTCTTCTTCTTCTTCTTCTTCTTCTTCTTCTTCTTCGTATCATCTGCAATGCATTGAGTCTAATCTTACATATATAACATGTATATAAATTAAAGACTTAAATGACATAGATAAAACTATAAAAAATTAACAAAATTCACTTCAATGCAAAGAGACTAGGCTTATACTTGAGTATAAAATAGACTTGGTAGACTGAATTTTTCTGGCTGTCACATGAGCAGGATCTTGTCTACATTTATGAAATTAATCATATATTAATGAGTTTCGATTTAACATCCATATGTATAAAAAGATAAATTATATTTATCTTTCTAACATAATAAAATTGTTTTAAATATTAATTAGAAAATTAAAATTATTTATCGATTAATATATTTATATTTCAAATAGTTATATGATATAAGTTATAAAAATTACTATAATATAACACATGTAAGTCGCACAAGTAACAAGTGTTATTTTAAAATACATAATATGTATTTTTTGTAAAAAAATAAATAAAAATTAAAATATTTTTTCTCATTAATTTTAAAATTTAAGAATAATTTTTTAACAAGTATTAGTGTCGTACTAATATTATTTATATATCACCATTGAAGTACATCGAACTTGGTCCGATAAAAATATTGATATAAGCGTTATATCTTAATTATGTAACTACCCTAACTAAAAAATTAGTTTATAAAATTACCAACCCCAAAAACTATTTACTAAATTACGTGACTAAACAGTTTAGAAATTAGTAACCGCTCATCAGTGACACAATTATTTTATGTACAAAATTATCATTTATTCTCTTTTTCTATAATTGACCCATGACTATCAACAATTTTAATTAATCATTTTAGCTTAATTAGCACTAATAATTTACATAAAATCAATTTCTACAATTATTGTTTTAAACAAAATTATCATTCAATTTTATTTCTCAATAATTGATCCCACCATAATATCAACAGTTTTTGATAATTATTTTGGTTCAATTACACACTAATTATTTAAATAAAAACGTGATAAAAGAAGTGATGATATCCTAACACATTCTAAAATGAAGAGAAAAATAGATAATTGACAAATTGCACTTACAAAAAACTTCATCAGCCCACTAAAATATAACATCCACTGAAATATAACAGATAATTAACTACAAATAAATGTATAAATGCACTTATATATTAAAAATAAAGAACGAGTTTACGGTATGCATAAACCTTCTACTATGCAATATAAAAACAACCAACAACTAAGCAACTCTTAATTTTGTAAACATAAAAGGCAACCAGAGTTCTAACACCAAGGAAAACGAAAAAAAAAAAGAAAAAGAAAACAATGAATGAGAAACGGATAAACAACCTAGAGTGTCCTATATAACAATCTAGAAGATGTATGTATTTGTTTATATTTTTTAATTGGATATGTAACAATTTTTTTTTAACTAAAAAAAAACTCGTATGAAGCAATGATATTTATTATATCACCAGGCAATGAATGTGTGAACTAATTGATTACCAAATTGAGAACAAAAACAACACATATCAATTTTATTGTGCAAACTAAAACTACATAATCATATAATTGAAACACTAAAAAATGGTTTAAAAATTAAATTAAATTAACAGTAACTTGAAAACAACTTTGACATAACCATACATAAACAGAAAAAAAAAAACAAGTTAAATAAAATTACTGTTAAAAAAACAAATAACTTATACAAATTTTATATATTTGCATAGTCATTCTCTTGAATTTTCTCATTCGCCGCCGCCTCATCGTCAGAGGTCGACCCTGAGTTGTCCGCAACATCGTAGTCGTTGGATGCCGCCATCAACCTTGTCGCCAGGTCTGCCTTGAAAACCTCCTTCGGCATAGTAGTCTAGTTCCGCTTTATAACCCAATAAAGCAGACGTCTTCCCGTCGCTTCGCCATTAGAGACGTCAAATTAAAATCTCCCTGACCTATCTCTGTACGTGTGAGGGAGAGAGGGATCGTGTTCTTACAATTTTTTTTTTTTAACAAAAAAGAAGGAAAATTCAGGAAAAAAATTGAATACTTTTACCCAAATGAACAAAGAAGAAAGAAGAAAAAATTCAAAAGAAGGTGAAGAAGAAAGAGAGTGAAAAACTTGAACCGTCTCTCAAATTATGTCAAAGAATATTAAAAACAGATGTAAACTTCCATTGGAACAGCCAATTCAAAAAACAAGTATTATTAGAATAAAGAAGGTACAAAATATAAAAAAAAGAGATACAAAACATAAAGAAACAAAATGGGTTGCAAAAATATAAATAAAAAATATAACTAGACATAATGCGCCATTATCTCTATTAAATTATCCTATATGTTCTGGGCTGACCCATTAAATCAAATGATATTAAAATTAAGCGAAAAAATTACTATACTTGCCGCATATATTTCACATTTATATAACAATACTAGTACGAATCTCATATGATGCACGGTTAAGAGATATTCATTAATATTTATAAATTAAAATATTTATTAAATAAAATTTTTGAAAATTAAAATTATAAAATCAATATGTAATATAATTTACCTATATTAATTTATTGAAAATGTTATATAAAATTTAAATTGTACAAAATACACACAACATGTCTATTTAAAATTAATACACAACCCAGATGGTGCAAATAACTAATAATAAATTACATTATATGTATTTTAAAATAAGGGTCATTTTGAAGTTTTTATTCAGAAATTCGATTTGACTACAATGTGATTCCATAAAATAAATATTTTGCTATAATAATATTTTATATCTACAAATCTATGTGAATAATAAGTATAATTATAAAACTTATAATATAAAAGTATTTTTGTATAAACTATCCAAATAAAAAAAATTAAGTAGTTGAATAATTTATTAAACCATAAATAATTGACTATTTCATTTACGTCCAACTTAATATTAACCTATAAGTTATAAATAATTATTTATTTGACTTTTAAACTTGAAACCCAAATTTTGACTCCACAATAAATTATTTATATATATAGATTTTTTATCTCTGAGAACCAAGTCCTAGCGTGAGAACCGTGAGAACCGCTATTTATAGTTGTACGTAGTGCTATGATTGATTGTGTTTTAGTGCTATTTTTAACATGGATCTATTTTCTTAAAAAATAGCAACACAATTTATATTAACATTTATAAAAATGATAGCACCATGTGATATTAAAAATAACATCATACACAATAAAAAATAGCATCAAATACGGTTCTCACACTAGAACTAGTTTTCGAACTGACCACTATATATATATATAGGATGTTGTTCAAATGAGAACCAAGTCCTAGCGTGAGAACCGTGAAAACCGTTATTTTTAATTGTACGTAGTGCTATGATTGATTGTATTTTAGTGCTATTTTTAACATGGATGTATTTTATCAAAAATAGCAACACAATTTATATTAGCATATGTGAAAATGGCAAATTGTGATATTAAAAATAACATTATACACAACTAAAAATAACATCAAATATGGTTATCACGGTTCTCACACGAAGACTAGTTATTATTTGAACCAACCCCTATAGATTATAAATTTTCTATATATATATAGATATATATATCTCGCAATTTTCTAGATTTGTTGTCGTTTACTTTATCGTTCAAATTTATCAACTAATTCTTTTGAATTAAATTATAAATTTTATTAACTAATATTTGTTCAAGGATCATTTTGTTTTCAGAAAGAATACATTATATTTCAAAAGGACATACTAAGCATATTGACATTTCAAATATTAACAAACTAAAATCCCACAAATTATGGGATTTAATTAATTAGAATTAAATGTAAAAAAATCTTAAATTGACACGAATTTATAAATAAGATATAAAATATTCTACCCATTGATAGCAAATTAGTTCAAAGATTATAAGTTTACTGTACCCAAAAAAAGAGAACTGTACCCAAAAAAAAAAAAAGATTATAATTTTACCTTCTTGAATTAGATAGAAAATATTCTACCAATAACAAATGACTTTCAAAAGTATAGGATAGTTTTTTTCAATGTAATATACCATAAATTGATTAATTATTTTTAAGGCAGAATTTTTTAATTTTTTCAAAAAATATTACTAAGTTTAGTAGTTTTAAAATTTTTTGCCGGAATTTTAGTGTCTATTTCAAATAAAAACGAACATTTAAATCAGTCGATATTTACACAATTTGCGTAATTAAAGTATATTAAAAATGTATTTCACAAAAGAATTACACGAAAAATATAAAACACTTATTAACTAATAAATTATGCAATTTAGTTGGAAACTTTTTAGCAATTCACATACTTGATATTGCAGCCGAAATTCGCATATTTGGATAAATAAGCCAAATTTACATGATTTTAGTAATTACGGTATCTAAAAAATAATTTTTTTTATGGCTTAGTTATTGCTTTAAATAATGTGCCGCAATTTCCATAAAAGAAATTCCAATATTTGGGTAAATCAGCCCCGAATTCACATGATTTGAGTAATTAAGGTATCTTAAAATGATTTTTTTTGTCTTAATTATCTCCTTAAATAATGAGCCGCAATTTTTCATAAGTGATTATTTGAAGCATGCCATAAATTATTAAATTAATTTTTCGAAATAGTAAATAAATATTTTTTTGGAGAGAAATAGTTATTATTTAAAAAATAATAATGTTTTAGGTACATTTTTACATTTTATTGTTATTTTTTTGCATCAGTTTTTGGTTACAATTTCCATATACAAATATATAGTAGTCTTACCAAGTCAAAACATTTTTAAATGTGGTAAAATGCTTAAATTATGTTAGGAGGATATTTTGATCCGAAAATCTTTCAATTCAAACACACAATCCATACATTTGGACACACTATTAGGTGTTGGGGAGGTCTTATTTTCTTTATTTGTTTATTAGGTATGAGTTGCTTTTGGTTTTTAATTTCGTTGTTTTGCTTCGTTTAGTGCAGCTTTGTCTGCTTTTTTCTCCTTTATAGAATTTGAGTCTCTTTTTTGAGTTTTGCTTTGTGGTTGTTCACCTCTTTGATGAAGTTTGTACTCCCTTGTGTGTGTTGCAAAGAGGGGTTGGTTCAGTCTTCTGGTTCCAATGTGTCACTTGACACTTCGAGTGTACTCTTTTGAGTTTTTAAGTTATTAATATAATTGCCGTTTGATTAAAAAAAAGACACACTATTACACAAACAATTCATTCAATTTCACTTATATCCTCTCGTACTCCACCCACAATGATTCACTAAAAATTCTCCATTATTTTGTTGTTTTACTTCATTTCCTATGCAAGGTGACCAAATAGGAGGTGTCGACAACCAGATATTAGAGAGGCTCGATGCCGATTCCAGTTGATGGCGAAGTGCGGCGATGTCGACAGAGCGTCAAGATTGGGCAAACGACTCGCTGAGGTTCAACCAATTTTGGGTTGACGACGGCGGATACTGGAAGGCGGCGATGAGATCTATGAGGATCGTCTTGTTGTGCGAGTCACGAAATAACGAATATACATATGTGCGGCGAATCTAAATTTTAGCGTAGAATTATTACGGCTTAAAATCGCAGACTCTGAGACGTTATAGATTTTCTTTGATGGAGATCTGTTGATTTCACTCGCAGGAAAAATCACATCGTCGAATGCTCAGAATCGCTGGGAGATAGGTCAGGTTGAACTAGGTCAGCTTAGGTCGCGCGGGTTGTGCGTGCGACTGTACGGGCGTGTTGCTGTTGGGGCGCAGGGCTTGTGGGTTGCGTGCGTCTGGGGCTGGTTGTGGGTCATGCGCTGTCCAGGCTGGGCTCTGCCGCATCGGGCATGCGTGAGGTGGTCGACAGTGGTCAGGTGCTGAGGCGGATGGTGCTCGGGTGCTCGACTACCAAAGGAATATTGTATTCCTCACACATCTACAAATCCTTTAGTGGGAAGGAGAACCTAGACTTCTCTTAATATACTTGCTTTTGTGTGTTTTTCGGACAATAAGAGAACGATATATATATATATATATATATATATATATATATATATATATATATATATAGGCTACAATATGACCCTAAGAATGTGTTAAATTAGGCTTCCCATACATGGGCCGAACTGTGGGCCAATCTCACTCCATTCATATATCAATAATATAGTAATTCCACTAAAATAGTATTATTGAAACTCTCAATTTAACTCCCAAATTATGATTTGAGCTTCGATTCATAATTACCCGAATTACCTTCATATGTTTAGGATATAATGTCCATCAATCAATTCAATTACTGACAATCGAGTTAATTGATCTCTTGTGCTGAAGATAACACCACTTAAATATTTTAATTGATCTCTGAGCTCACTTCAGGGACACCATCAAACTGAGGCACATGGTGATCGTAAATATTTTAACAGCACACCATGCATGCAATTTTACCATACAACTCAATTGGTTTTCTATCCAGACAAAATGAACCTCACCGTGATGAATCAAAGTAGTAACTACTACATACATGCGTCTGTTTATATTTTATGAGTTAAGAGAACACAATAATTAGTCGAGGTCTATTTCATTTACGATGATCAATATAAAATAACGGATCCTCTCCGGGATCCATTTAATACGCAAATGTATTGTGCAACTTATCAGTCAAGACCAAGTGTACACGTTGCCACTACAACTATTTTGATGACTTGTTCAATTTCCATCTAGGTTATGAATCAATTTCATTATGTATCGCGAGTTACTGATAAATGATCTTCTGTCCATCTGTTATGATCCATTTACGTAAGCGCAAAACAACAGAACATAGAACTTATTTAATCAAGCATGAATTCTGATTCAACAAAAATAGTATAAATAACATCTAGAGCGAAGCTTTCAGTA